CCCCCCCCCGCCCTCCCCATCACCCAGCTGTCACTCGAGGGGGCGCACCTCGCCTGTCCTCGCGGGAGGCACACGTGTAGAGCTGGGGCACCAAGTCACGTATGAGCCGTATTCACACCCTGTCTGCGTTTGGCTCCTTTGTGGCCACGATGGCATTATGAGGAGGACAACGTGACGAGGTTGGCCTGGTTTGTAGAATGTTCAGGATGAAAAATACAAAACCAAACGAGCTTTCAGAATGGTTTATAAAAACCACAGCATTTCATTAGATCCCCACGTGCCATCGCTTCCTTACGGTCCGTGCCTTCTGCCACCAGTTCCCAAACGCACACCCGTCAGAGCTCGATAAAGCGGTGCTCCCTTGCACTGCGATAGGCCCCAAAGCCGGGTTTGTCGTCAGAGACCCCTATCTGCCGTTAAAGAATCCGGCGGTAGAACCAAATGGGAGGGCCTACAATAAAATACAAATTCCACATGTGGGTGTGAGATCCTTTTCCTGAACGTGGCTATGCTTCCGTCAAATGCAGGTAGCGGGTGTCTGTTAAATAAAGACTCTCTGTCCTTCTCTTTCTCCATTTGTGGGCTAACACTTGACTTTGTATGATTTGTATACGTGGTAATTAACATGTCGCACCCGTCTGGAAAGACAAGTGGGTCTTTGCCCTCGGGGGCTCCTCCAAGGACATTTGAGCGCCCCCAAATGGGGGAATTTCTGCATGGAGAGAGCTGTGGACGGCGGTCACGTCACTTCCTTTTCCTGGCCTCAGTTTCCTTATCCGGGAAGTGAGCATTTGGGCTGGTGTCCAAGTTCCAAGAATAGGAAAGGAATTTAGCCACCAGTGAGGGACCACGGCTGCCTGAATGCGTATGTAGCAATGACAGTAATAGCAGGCTGCAGCCACGCATCGATTATGGAGTCTCATGTCTGTGCCTTTTCCCCGCCAACTCTCCTCTGTTCTAGTACAATGCAGACAAAGCCATCGTGGATAGCGGCACCACACTTCTGCGCCTGCCCCAGAAGGTGTTTGATGCGGTTGTTGAAGCCGTGGCCCGCACGTCTCTGGTGAGTCCTCGGGGCGCTGATAAATCTCGGGGACCGCCAGGTCATGACCACGTGCTGAGGGGTACTGCTTTGTACTCCAGTGGTCGTCATCCGAGGATTTTGAGGGGTTGGGTTTTTTTTTTTTTTTTTTTAACTATGACTTATTAAGTTCACAGTCTTACTCTTAACCAGCAAAGAATTTCTTCACTTTAACCTCAGAAGACTTGGATTTGAAGGTGCAATGCTGTTTAGTGTTTCAAATAATAGTGTAGTGGGTGTAGGACTTTTTTTTTTTTAATCTAAGAAAAAAAAATCCACTTGGTAATACTCTATATTAAAGTACATCGTAGACCAAGGATATATTTGCAGCCTGTAAAGAAAACAAATAAACCAAAAATTGTACTCTTTTTTTTTTTTTTTGGCCTTCATCCAAGCTGTGCTGGAATTTTAATTCCTTACTTCTGTAAAAGAATGTGATTCACAGAAGATGAAGGTCAATCAAAATCAAGCCCGCGTAATCATGATTAAAACCACGGCCAAGGGCGGCATGCATTTTGGAGAACTGGCTGACGGGTGTTCCAGTATGGCTCCAAATTTCCAGTTGGTTCGGGGCAACGGGATGGACCAAAGGCATTGACTGGGGAAGGGCACAGCTTCAGGGGTCTGATGCGCTTGAACGTAGCTAGGTGCCCGGGGTGGGATTCGGGCCCTCGGAGTCTCCATGCCCTCATCGCCGGGCTGTCGTGAGGGCTGAGGTAGAAAGCCCCCACACGGTCATGCTCGGGGAGGGGAAGCCTCTGTTTCATGTTCAGACCACGGTGCCGCTGCTGCTCCTTGTTCGGACGCGTGCCCAACGTTTCCCTCAGCTTCTTGGGTGTTTTCATAAGCCTCTGTCTGCACAGGGCCACGCTTGCAAGGTCACCAAAAGCGCGCGTCTCCCACCCAGAGTCTTTCTCCTGAACGAATGCCGGCCCGACCGTCCCACTGCTCCAGTGGCCGGATTCGAAGAACCAGTGACCGGAACATGCGTAGCAGCTGCTTTGTGACAGCTTCTCGCAGAAGCATGGGGAGGAGCAGGGGGCTTTTGGTTGTCCTGAACCAGACTTCAAGAGTCCGAGACCGTCATGGGAAGAGCGGCAGGTGATCCGAGAGGACGAAGAGGGGCCGTGAAACAGACGTAGGGCCGAGGCCCTTTTTGAGCTTGAGAGGATTTCCAGGCAGCAGCGGTCAAAAGCCAGAGTAAAGCTCCTCTCTTGTCTCGTATCTGCTGAATCAGAAAAAAGTGGCAAGTAAAGTTTTTAGTGCCCTAAATTCAGAACGCTGGCTGAAAATCAGACCATGCTTAAAATAAGGAGCCATATGCTGATTTTCTTCAGTAGTGAAAATGTCCTCAGCAGACCTGACATGAGCCTCTTCAGACGGAGTATTCTGGGCCGTAAATGTGTTCGGGCTTATCCTGCAGAAATGCTCGATGCGTGTGTACGTGTGACCCCAGCCAGCCTGTGGCCAGCCCCGGCCTGTGCGGGGCCCACGACCCCAGCCCCTGTGTGAGCCCCACGGGGAGAGAGCGGGCCACGCCTGCCAGGCGCTGGGACCCCAGACGGCGTCACAGCCCCCGTTCAGTGGTGACGGACTTTGTGAGAAAAGCAGGAGGTAGAGGGAATGAGATTACAGAACGTGTTTGCCTTGTCTAAAATTACCCTGTGACCTCAGAGCCTGTGTCAGGGAGGGGAGGACCCGGGCAGGCTCTCTGTCTTGGGCCGAGAAAGTCCAGGGAGGGCAGACGGGGTCCCTGGGTCAGCGCACGTGGACCACAGATGGCCAGTGTTCTTGCCTGTCGTGGCGTAGGGTTTCTTTCCAGTTAAGGGGATGGCTGACTTCTTTTTTTTTTTAAGTTTATTTATTTAGTTTTGAGACAGAGAGTGTGCAACAAGTGGGGGAGGGGCAGAGAGAGAGAAGCCCAAGCAGGCTCCACGCCATCGGCGCAGAGCCCGACGTGGGGCTCAAACCCACAAACCGCGAGATCATGACCTCAGCTGAAGTCGGACGCTTACCCGACTGAGCCACCCAAGCGCCCCGGGAAATGGCCGGCTTTGGGGAGTTAGACGCGGTGCAGATGTTGGGCTCGTGGCCTGGATTGTTCAGCTGGGATTTTAGGAATGCGTGGTTTATAGGTCCGTAATTTGAGAGGAGCCTCATGGGGAGTTCTGTGTATGGCAGAGACCTGGGCTCCCCGTCCCCCTAGGTGAAGTGCCCTTGTGTTCTGCCCAGCACTTCCCCATCTGTAAAATCCAGAAGCGGGACGATACCTGCTTGTGGATGACTTCTGACCCCAAACTCTGTGATCTGAGGGTCAAAACTGTCCCCCGAGGACACGTAGCTTAGCCTTCCGGGAGGCCCTTGGACTCACAGACATCTCTTTGGAGGCAGATGGTCCCCCATCCGATTCAGAGCTATACCCCTTAGGTGAGTTACTGGGCACCCCCCTGGGCCTGATCCCTCCGTCTGCACGTCGGTGTCGCTCCCAGCACTGACGTGGGGCCCCCTTCCCCGGGTGCAGGCCCGGCCGCCCTTGTCTTAGCTCATCCCTGGGTCCAGCAGATGACAGCCCCACCCTTCTCGGCTCCTCTGGCAGGGGATTCTGCCCTCTGATACACAGTTCAACTCGACTTCGCTTTTATAAAAGGTGAAAATGTGTTAACGCCGACATTAGAAATTGTACAGACCAGTCACTAAGTTTCATGATGGATGTTCCGTGGGAGGACGAAAAGCTTTGGGGCATTTTCTGCCCACTGTGTGGCCCGGGACAGGGTGGAGGGGGGCTTGCACCTGCCGGCTGTGGTCCTGTAGTAACACGGCGCTCGGGGTTTGTGCAGCAACTCCCAGCTTTCTCAGTTCTTGCCCCGATTGGCCCGCACACCATCCCTGCTTACCTGTCTCGCCTCCTCTCTGCTTCCATAACGCCCTCCTCCCGGACTTCTGGTCCCTGCACCCTCTTCATGGGGTCTCCTTTGCCAGCCTGATCCAGGGTGGGTCCCAGGCCCTTCCCTTCTCCCTGTGCTCTCTCGGAGGGATTCCATCCACGCCACATCACCGCCCGTCGGTGACTCTAGCCAGGCCCGCCCCCCGGAGCTGAGCCTCAAGAACCAGCGGCCTGTGCAAATCCCACTTGGACACCTTACTGGCTTGCCACAAAGCTCAGATCTCTCTTAATGGTCTCTGGTGAAGATGCCAGGGCGCCATCATTTCCTCTGTCTCCCCTCTGTTCCTTCCGATCCGCCCCGCCAGCCTCCACTGCTGACCTCGGTTTTACCCATTGAGGCAGCTTCTCTGCCCGTCCTCCCTCAGACACATCTCGTGCCGGCCCCCCACCCCCGCCCTTAGCTCAGCTCAGCTT